TGCATCTTTGGACCACCCACTATCTTTTGAATAAATGGTGTTTACGAAGATGCATTTTTGGACACACTTTTATGCATACGGAGATACATCTCTAGATTGAATTTGGCATAATAGGACCTCCGCATCAATTTCATCTAAAAATGGCTTAAAAATAGGTGTGTCCGGAGATGCATCTCCGAACTTTGTGGACATTTCAATATTTTCACGATGGTGTAGGAGAAAACATAAAGGTGGAAATATAAACTCCTAAACAAAAAAGGCAAGTGGAGATTACTCTAGAATGGGCTTTCACCTTAGGCCCATATTTCATAACTTAATGTTTTTTCCTCGAGTTTTTTTCACGACACCCTAACATCTATACCACACACCCTTACTTTTTCTGAAAAGCCAATTTTACCCCTTTCATAATTTGTCATTCAAAATTTAAAGTTTTATTTTAAAAAAATACATTGTTAAAACCTCTTAATAACTCAAAAAATCTAATACACAAAGCATGGGATTCATATTGTACTATTATGCGAGGTTCATACACAGAAAAGTAACACCTGGTGAGTTTCATTCATCACGAAAAGTATGTGTATTTGGACAAGAAACATGGAAGACTCTAATGTTGTGAGTGATATATTATGGAAACATCTCGATTCATTGAAGCTTTTGAACATGTTTCATTTTGCGTTTATCTTTGACAAAACATATAAAATTAACAGGTATTTGCTCATATTTCTTGAGATTATTGGTGTTACTTCAACAAAATTGATATTTTTTGTTCTATTTTTTACTTACAACATGAATGGAAAGACAATTTCATATGGACACGGGAGAAGTTTAGCGAGTTGTTCACATTTGAGAAGTTGATTTCAAGGTAATGGTGATAGATTGAGATATTTCCTTGATAAATGAAATTGAGAGCTCGACGAATTCCTATGTTTTCTCCCATAAGAGTCTTAATTTTTAGAAAGGGGATCCTAGTGGGTTCATGTGTTTGCTCCTTTAGGAGTCTTAAGTTTTTGCAAGGAGAGTTTGGTGGATTCCTATGTATGCTCCTTTAGAAGTCTTATTTTTTGTTCGAGATTTTATCTGGCTGAATGTATGATTTATTCAAAAACATCAAGCGTGACACATTAAAAACCATAACCTTTGCAAGGGAAAAGAGTGTTATCCCGATAAGTTATTTTAATTAACAATATTAAATTGTTTACTGTAGCACTGGATAATTTTGTTTCATTGTTAGAGACTATTGTCTTTGGTAGTCTGGACCTACAAATAATATTTTTCCAATAGAAAAAACATAATCTTTTAGATGTTATTTTGGCCACTGCTTTGGGCCTCACCCATTTGGTGAAGTAGTCAACCCTGGCCAACTGGAATTTTAACTGACCAGGGCCATCATGAAAGGACCCAATATGTCCACTCCCCGCTAATAAAAGGTCATAGAGATATCATCGAATGAAGGATATTGACAGAGGCCTGAATGAAATTCGAAAAAATCTATGACACTTGTCGCACCATTTAACAAACTCGACAATGTCTCTGAGCATCTTCGACCAATAATATCCAACTCTTAGAAGCTTGCTTTCCAGCTCTCTTTCTCTAATATGGATTCTACAAATACATTAAGGCACCTCTACTAACACTAAACTCACCACTTCTTATGCTAGGCATATTAACATAGCCATGGATTTCCCCATCTTATAGAAACTATCTGCCACCATAACATATCTAGTTGAAAGTTTTCTTATTCTCTGAGCTCAGCCTCATATTCTGGAAATTATTCAATTGTAAAGTATTTTATGATAAGAGACATCCAACTTTTTCTATTATCTAGCATCATCACTTGGGAGACTTCAACCTCTGTGTTGAGGATCTCTAAGGTCTCTTGAATCACGGTCCTATTGAGACCTCATTTCTTTGTACTAGCAAGATTTGATGATAAATTAGCTTAAATATCTGTTTCTCAGGGTACATGGACTATCTAAAAAACTGGAAACCTCCTTCTATTTATAGGACCTTTTGCAGGTACTTTGATAGTATATGATCTTTAGTTTAAAAGTCGCCCTTGATATGGACAGTGATCAACTATGAGTCACTATTCACCCTAAGGTTCGCGGTCCCTAATTCTATATCCAACTTCATTCCTGCCACTAGAGATTCATATTTTGCTAGATTGGTACTTGCCTTGAAGCCAAAACACAATGAATACTATAACAAACTTCACGGGATCCTTCCAACATTAGTCTTTCTCATTCATCTCTTTCCTGGACTAATACCGGGCATATAAGATTGGTAGTAATTTATAAAGTAAAGGAACAAAAGGATTTTTTTTTCTCTGGGTGTGTGAGTATAGGAGGTGTTACCAAGATTTGTTTTTCAATTCTCGGAAATCCATCTCACATTCTTCATTCATTCAAAACTAGATGACTTCTTTAATATTGCCATTTTATTATCCTCATATGATTTGTGTTTCCTCTGAGCGATGGGTTTGAAACTGGACATAATTAATAAATGATGACACACTACATTCATATATATATATATATATATATATATATATATATATATATATATATATATATATATATATATATATATATATATATATATATATATATATATATATATATATATATATATATATATATATATATATATATATATATATATATATATATATATATATATATATATATATATATATATATATATATATATATATATATATATATATATATATATATATATATATATATATATATATGGAATTTTGGATGGTGCTCATGATATCTACATTCTCTTATAACAGTTTCACAATCATGGCTTCCTCATCTTCTGACAGTGTTATTCTAACCAACATAATTTAATGGGATTTAGGGACAATTTAAACGGTATTTAGATCCTCTAGTTGTTTTCATCTCCTCTAGATAGGGTTATCTTGTGGATCAAAATTTATGTAATTGATCTTAAGTGAGTTGGAGGGATAGGCGGGCTCTGCATTGTCGTTTTTCTTTATCTTCAAGTTTTCTCTACAATCAATTTTCAACAATTCTTGACTACCTTTTATCACTCATATATCCCATTGTTTAATATGTATTTCATGGTCAAGTATAGGATTGATAGTGGAGCCTCTAGAGCATTGAAAGTTGGCCAACCTATGGTTATATGGTATGAAATGTTTATCCCCATATATCTTCCTTTGACACTCATCGTGCTCCCCCCTTTCCTAAAAGTAATCTGAATGGTAACACGCACTAGGTCATACACCTTTTCTCCTAAGAACCTGACCTGTGAGCCTCTAAAAGTTTGGACTAGTGAGCTTCTAAATGTTTGAAAATCTAGGGTTTTTCTTTAATCCTTCGAAATCATCCCATTAGAGAATGTCAGCCAAATAATTAGGATCCACCAACACCTGCTTGACATTCCAATCTTGAATATGGAGGTAGATCACCATGGGATCATCCTTGTGAGGGAAAATCCATTATACGTCTCTATTGGGGAAGATGATTTATGTTGTTGGAATGACTCTATTTAAGGGCGATGCTTTGATGATGTGCATCACATGTTTGGTGTGCTTTTTCCTAGATGAGTTGGACTTTCTACCTCCTGTGAAATCTCTAGCAATTATGGTAGAAATGTTGTGAGGTTGGCAAGGCTCGTGTCCCTCTTCAATACTTTGACATCTCATGGATATGGAGTTCTTTGTCTAGCTTGTCTCTATGGCGAGGCTCTCCTTTAGAATTTTGCACCTTTCCCTACATATACTTATGCAGGATACCTCCTTGAATTAACTTTTTGATTTTTTGTTTTAGGTGGTAACAATCTTTGGTATATTGATCTCGTATCTTATTGTACTTTCACCATTTATTTGAATCATTTCCCATAAAATCTTCTTTGGGAGCATGGGGTTCAAGGATGATTTTAGCATGGTACACATATTGTAGAATCGATCCCTGTCGATATTTAGAGGGCTGAAATGCTCAATGAGTTTTTGGGCGGGCTTGAAAGTAACTTTCTCGCTAATCAGTAATCCATTATGATTTTTTTGATGTCCATTGGATCCAGTTTAAAACTTAGTTCCTTTGCAACCTTGGTTCTTTTCTCTACATTACTTTCTTCTCCTTTGATGTAGCATTCCCCCTGGACATGATTTCTTCCATCGAGGATGCCGATTTTTGTGTTAGGGATTCTTTGAAAATGTATCGCCTTTAGGCCATTCCAAAAATCTCTTATGAACATTGTGGGACGATAATGAGTTTAGGTTAAGTATGGTTATGTGGCTCAGGATAGTTTTAATGAACCTCGCGGTGGGCACCAAATTTACATGATGGGTACACTATTTGATAATCTTATTGGTGCTATGGCAGCAGAGTTGCAATGAATATCTTAGTGTTTGTCATATGAAAAAAAATTGTCCTTTATACTTGATGATTGTTGATTTTTATAAAGTGTTCTCTGCCATGAGCTTTTTATGCTGATTTAATTTTCATTATAGGACAATACCCCTTTCCTAGCTGAAAGAAATAAAGAGTGTTAAGTCCATTGTTCCCTTATCTAAGGCCGTCATCTTAAGGCTATTCAATGGCTTAAACGTTCTCTATATACGTATAATGGATAATCGTATCGAATGAGTTTTTATTTGATTTCGAACCGACCTTCTTGGCCTGACCCATTAAGAGTGATCAGACCTAGTATTTTCCTGTGAATGGATTAGGGAGAAACGAATTATGTCACATCCAGGTTCGTGCTCAGTCCAAATTCTTTTAGGTGAAATACCATATTGTTGGTAATGTAATGTTAATATTATATCTTATCTAATGGGAAAATGCAAAGTAGTTGAGGAGGGGATAATATTAGGAATTGGTCAATAAACAAGAAAATGACTCATTTTGTATAGTATATTCTTACATTTACACATAAAAAACATCAATAAATTTATTTTGTCTATTTATCGAGTTGCATATGTTCCATTGTATGCACACATACACTTGCACACACACCCAATTTATTTATCCTTCAAATAATGTTTTAAGATTGTAAGGGCCAACAATACTTTGATTTCCACTCCACATGAACTGGAAAATAATCTTACTAGAACTTTCAGTAGGATGAATAGAATCAACAAACACATATTCGGAAGGATTCTCACACAATTCATACTCTTTCATTGCTCTTTTACCTCCACAATTGTAATATCCCTTGTAAGGACCACTACCACAACATGCAACTCCGCCTTTTTTTCAAACCTTTCAATCAACAAACAAAGAAACAACATCAAACTACAATTATATAATAATACTTTTCATATTCGATTATTATAATTAAATAATCTAAGCTCTCTATATAGTTTTAAATAGTTATGTCTTCAAATATACAATTACCTACCAAATTTTGAAGGGTTGTTTATCACTTTATAAGATAGGTCAAAGAAATCAAAATATGAATATTTAAATCCTTTGATTTGTTTCTCTAACTTCTTAAGTTCAACAAAAAGCACATTGTTATGTAGTTTGGTAGGTGATAAATACTCTTATATCCATGCTTCTTTAGTTCCATTTATAGCAGCCTTGATAATTGGATAACAACCCATAAATGGTTGGTTAAGAACCCCAAATTTCCTCCCACCCATTTCAGGTATTCCCTAAAACTAAATATCAAATTGGATGGAATACATAAACAATTAGAATGGTATAGAACTAAATGTACTTTGATAATGAAAAATACAGAAGGAAGATAAGTTTTACATACTTTGATCAAGGTTGTTAGATTACCAACTACCATGGATATGCATTTTTCATGAGTATATATGCTGGAATTTTCTACAAAATAATCATTGCTTCCAATGGTAATCAAGTAAACAGCCCTAGCTAGCAGAGACTTGATATCTTCGTCTCCATGTTTCTCCCTCAATATCTTTTTAACATTCTTGAAATAAGTTAATTGAGTATGTAGATCTATCACCTGCAAATATTAAAATAACATATCATCAAACTCTGATAAGGAGAGACTAATTTCATATTCATTCATTCGATATTTTTTTGTGATGTTAGATAAACACAAAAATAGACACTTTGGAGGTTCTATTTAGATTAGTTATATGGTTGAACTGTGACAAAACAACTAATGACTATACTTAGTCATGGTTTAAATTTGTTATGAGGTTTTATTTAACTACAATTTAAATGTGATAAATTTTATGAAATTTTGTTGTAGTTAATATTGCATAATCTCATGCGGCTTTGATTCAACCAACACATATGTATAGAAAATTTGACCAAACCAATCTTTCCACGCATACTAAGTCAAATAAAAGTACTAAAAATTCACAATAATTGAATTTTATACAATGTTGATATCCATGGTTGTGTTTATTTAATAATCTTTATAATATTTTACGATATACTTACACAACTCACTATTAAAGTGTTCACTTCCATTAGTCTATTCAACGAGAGTTTGACTTTATAACCTTAAAAAATAAAGTTCAAATCCACTAAAAAACTATTGTAAAATAATCAATAATATTTCTTTACTTAATAATAATTTTTTCATTCTCCATTTTTTAAAAATGATTCAAAGTGACTATCTCAAATACATCATGTTTCGCTATATAATTGGACTCACATAAACTGGTGATAACTGTCCCAACAATAATTGTCTCTAAAAGAAGATTCTAAGACTTACAAATCCTATAATCTCAATATAAAGTCTAAAAAATAGTCTATACTCAAGAATACATTATTCTAAATTATAAATATCACACTTATGGTTGTCACTGACTTGATTGTCAGAATTAATGTGGGGAGATACTCCCTCCCCCGAAAATAACACACAAAAACCTCTTTATCAGAGTTATAAACAACATCATCATTAATAACACTAAAGAAAAAAGAGCTTCTCACAAACATTTCACTTCACCATGCTCTTGCTAATGCAATCTTGAGGGTGGTGTCATAACCTTAAGACACACTGACTGGTTTGTTGTCATATTTAGGAGATTCAGTTTGGTTTTGGAAATCAGGGGTTCTTTTTTAGGACACGGAGGTCCTAAAGACTCCAAAAGCATACCAGAAGACGAAAAACTTGCTTATAGACCTTTTACTATCATTTCAAAGGAAGTCAGAGGTCACTCAAAAGCAAAAATAACGATTAGTCAAGGTTGAAACAACCATAAATCAGCCTTAAGGGAAAAATTAGAGTGTAATATAATTGATCTAAGATAATATCATATTCTCTTAACAAGATCAACAAGCACATTGTTGAAGACTTGCATCCCTAAGACTCAAGAACGATATGTGTGCCCCATATAAATCTAGGTCTTTATCACGATGAAATGCTCACCTTTTGGACCTTGTCGTCACCATGAACACCATAACAGGCGGCATAAGGATTCGACTTCACCCTCACAAAGTAGAAGGAGGCTTCCATTGAAAAATCACTCTCCTCCATACCATGTCTATCATATGTCTTCGTTAGAAAGATCTTAGGGTGAATAGGATGAGCCCCCAAGAAGGAATGCATTTAATCTTCAAATCAATAATTGTCTTATTCAAAATTACCCCTAGAAGAAACCAAGTAGCATGGGATCTAGTGGTAAAGGAGTTCATGCTAAGGATATAATTCGGAGAATATCGAGTTCGATTCTTAGGTGGGAACAACACTTGGCCAGTGCTCATACCTCTCGGCACGAACTCTGGATTACTAGGGCCTATTTCCCATAGTAATCCAAAATTTTTTTACCCCTAGGGATGAGAAGATATGACATGACTACTAACCCTAAATACCATGTCAAAGTCATGGACATAATCCTCATTTCTAAGAAGAAAAGGGGTCAGTTAAATGCAAATTGTTTATTCTCACACTGAAGGATGAGGTGATGACATGGCTTAAAACCTAAGGCTTGAATCTATCAACTCTTACAGAGAGTTATACCAACATTTCACGACCCACTTCATATCTCCAAATGACATCTAAAATCCATGGATTGTAATTGATATCAATCCGAAAAAAGAAGGACAAACCACTAAGGAGTTATATCAATAGATTTGATAAAGATGTCATCCTAGTGAAGGACGTGAATGACAAAATGAAGAGACGTTTGCTAAGTCATGGACTTTAAAAAGGAAAGAGGTTTGGTAAAAAAATTAGAATTAAAAATGATAATTATTGATGTCTAAAGTACACAATGTAAGGTTCAGCATCATATTCATCATGTCAGGTTCCATAAAGAAAGAGAATACCAACCACCATCCAGGGAATGATGATGTGACCGAAAGGACTTTGAGTCAAGCCATAACCTAACTCCATCAATCGAGGCTTAGGGGGAAATGTTTTTATCCAGACTAAGACTTATATATTTTAGTATCGGATCACTAGGGTTCATAAGATGGGCTAGATAACGAGGTGGCCACGCCCTAACCACGTTCAAAATAAGGTTCATCGAATTACAAAGGATATTGGATGCTTTGACAACTACCCTAAGAAACAACTATTCATCAAAGAATGATCTAGAACCTCGAGGTCATAAAGTAGTCTTACCTTAGAGGCACGTGAGATCACATTGGATCAGTCCTTATAGACCGTCAGATAATGATGACTCACTTGATTTACTGACACTTCTTCCTAGAGACAATTGTCTTTAAAAGAAGATTCTAAGGTCTCTAAGCCATAGAACAAAGATATAAAGTGTAAAGAACGATTCAGACTCAAGTAAAAATTATTATAAACTCTAAACCTCATATTTTCCTTTTCAATGACTTGATTGTCAGAGTATTTATAAATACGTACGTCACTAAATAAATTCACTAGAGATAGTCCTACGAGAGTTTGCTAACAACATCATCATCAATAACATTAAAATAAATAAAAAATATTCTTGGACCACATCATGTCTATAACTTTATACATAAATTTAAAAGTATTTTACATGCCATTTAAGATATCTCAAATATTAAATCATACTATATGTAAAATTAAAATTTGTAGACATCGTCTATAATCCAAAGTGAGTTTTCTAATACTCCAAAAGTGAGTTTTGTAATACATGTGTCGGAGAAAAGTTAGTAAACAATATACCAGTATTTAACAATGAAAAACTTAGATACAATTATTTATGTGTGGTTCTTACTATTTTTCAATGAAATTATGATAAGTGTACTTAAATATAATTTAAGGAGTGAAAATAGTATAAAATTGATATGTGTAAGATAAAATTATATATTTATCATATTTTCATTGGAAAATAGTAAAAATCACACGTAAAGAATTGTATCTAAGTTTTATCCATCTAACAATTGCAACATCATTAAAATTCGAAAAATAAAACAGGCCAATCCTTTATGGGTTTCCACTAAAGCTCCAACACCAACTGAGACAAAATTGATTCAATTAACATATTCTTGAGAACCAGGAAATAAATATTGTTTTTACCTAGTATTTTCCTATGAATAAATTAGGGCGGAATGGGTTATGTCACATCCAGATTCGTGTTCAACCCAGATTCTTTTAGGTGAAATACCTTATTGTTGATTATGTAAATGTTAATATTACATCTTACCTAATGGGAAAAATGCAAAGGAATTGAGGAGGGAATAATATTAGGAATTGGTCAATAAATAAGAAATGACTCATTGTATAATATATTCTTACATCTACACATAAAAAAAAAAACAAGTTCATTTTGTCTATTTATTTAGTTGCATATGTTCCATTGCGTGCATGCATACAGTTGCACTCACACACAAATGAATTATCCTTCAAATAATGTTTTGAGATTGTAAGGGCCAGCAATACTTTGATTTCCACTCCACATGAACTGGGAAATAATCTTACTAGCACTTTCCGTAGGATGAATAGAATCAAAGAACACATACTCAGAAGGATTCTCACACAAATCATAATATTTCATTGCTCTTTTACCTCCACAACTGTAATATCCCTTGTAAGGACCACTACCACAACATGCAACTCCGCCTTTTTTCAAACCTTTCAATCAACAAACAAAAAAACAACATCAAACTACAATTATATAATAAATCTTTTCTTATTTGATTATTATAATGAAATAATATAAGCTCTCTATATAGTTTTAAATAATTATGTCTATAAATGTACAATTACCTACCAAATTTCGAAGGGTTGTTTATCACTTCATAAGATAGGTCAAAGAAATCAAAATATGAATATTTAAATCCTTTGATTTGTTTCTCTAACTTCTGAAGTTCAACAGAAAGCACAGTGTTATGTAGTTTGGAAGGTGACGAATAAGCTTCTACGCAAGCATCTTTAGTTCCATTTATAACAGCCTTGATAATTGGAAAACAACCTATAGATGGTTGGTTAAGAATCCCAAATTTCCTCCCTCCCATTTCATGTATTCCCTAAAATTAAATACCGAATTGGATAGAATACATAAACAATTAGAATGGTATATAACTAAATGTACTTTGATAATGAAAAAATACAAAAGGAAGATAAGTTTTACATACTTTGATCACGGTTGTAAGATTACCAACTACCATGGATACATATTTTTCATGAGTATATATGCTGGAATTTTCTACAAAATAATCATTGCTTCCAATGGTAATCAAGTAAACAGCCCTAGCTAGTAGAGATGTGGCATCTTCATCTCCATGTTTCTCCATCAATATCTTTTTAACATTTTTGAAATAACTTAATTGAGTATGTAGGTCTATCACCTTCAAATATTAAAATAACATATCATCAAACTCTGATAAGGAGAGACTAATTTCATATTTATTCATTCAATATTTCTTTAGTGATGCTATATAAACTCAAAAATAGACACTTTGGAGGTTCTATATAGATTAGTTATATAGTCTAACTGTGACAAAACAACTAAGGGTCACACTTAGTCATGCTTTAAATCTGACAAATCTGTTATGAGGTCTTATTTAACTATAATTTAACTGTGATAAATTTTATGAAATTTTGTTGTAGTTGATATTGCACAATCTTAAAGACTGCTTTGGTTATACAAACACACATTCGTTTAGAAAATTTGATCAAACAAATCTTTACACGCATAATAAGTTAAATAAAAGTATTAAAAGATAAAAATAACCGGATTTTATACATTGTTGATGTCCATGGTTATGTTTTCTTAACATTTTTGATAATATTTTACGATATACTTACACAACTCACTATTAAAGTGTTCACGACCATTAATCTATTCAGCGATAGTTTGACTTTGTAATCTTAAAAAACAAAGTCCAAATCCACTCAAAAACTACTGTAAAATAATAAATAATATTTATTTATTTAATAATAATTTTTTCACTCTCTATTTTTTTAAAATTGATTTAAAGTTATTAGCTCAAATACATCATGTTTCGCTAGGTAATTGAACTCACATAATCTGGGGACAACTGTCCCAACGATAATTGTCTCTAAAAGAAGATTCTAAGACTTCTAAATCCTAGAATCTAAATATAAAATATAAAAAATAGTCTAAACTTAAAAACACATTAGTAAAAATCATAAATCTCACACTTATGGTTGTCATTGACTTGATTGTTAGAATTAATGTGTGCAGATACACCCTCCATCGAAAATAACTCACGAAAACCTCTTTATCAGAGTTATAAAACAAAAACATCATTAATAACACTTAAGAAAAAAGAGCTTCTCACAAACTTTTGACTTCACCAAGCTCTTGCTAACGTGGTCGTGAGGGTGGCGCCATAACCTCAAGACGCACTGACTGATTTTTTTTCATCTTTGGGAGCTTCAATTTTGTTCTGGAAATTAGGGGTTACTTCTTAGGACATAAAGGTCCCAGAGGCTCCAAAAGCAGACCGAAATACGAAAACTTGCTCAAATAGCTTTTACTAGCATTCCAAGGACAGTCAGAGTGTTAAATTGTAATTCATATGTGTCAAAAGAAGATTTGATTTGTTTAGTTTTAAATAGATTTGAATTTAAATCTAGATTAGATTTGATTTAGTAAAGAGATATTTTGGGCTTGGGTTTAGCTTAGGGAGCAAGCTAACCTAAATCTATAAATAAGAGGGAGTAACCCTTATTTTTGTATTCAAGTCATTAAACTCATTCACAGTATTTTGCAGTTGCAAAGTGAATAATAAAGATTCCACAGTTTGTGGGCAGAATAGAAATTCTGCAGAAATATCTCCATTGTTCTTTTATTTGTTTGTTTCATAACTTATCATCAAGTGGTGGTCGAAATTCATCATAGTGTATTGGTGGATTTCCAACATCTGGTATCAAGAGCTTGTGTTTCGATTCAAGGGAAGTATCAATCAAGAACGATTGAAGAATTCAAGATGACAAGTTATGGGAATGCAAACTATCCAGCAACGCTGCCAATTCTGAAAGTTGACAACTATGAGAATTGGTGCAAGAAGATGAAAGTCCTATTAAGGTGTCAAGGCCTTTGGGACCTTGTAAAAGATGGAGTCGAAGCGCTTGGCGAAAACGCTTCAGAAGAAGAAAAGAAGAAATATACAGAATCTGAGAAACAGAGTTATAAAGCATTG